CCAGACGCTTGGCCGCCCGTTCGACTCTTATGGTCTCTTCGACCGGGATTTCCTCGTGCATGACCCATTAAATCGTCGTTCGATAGCGCGACACATACATGTTGTCGCCTATCTTGGGATGGCCCGAGACTTCTTCCACTTCATCCTCTTGACCTCCTGTCGGGAGGCGGCACCGGTCGTCCGAGATTCGCAGACTCCACGATCACGGGCTTTCCCACGAGCCGTCGCGTCGGCAACCATGTTCGGGCAACTTCGCTGCGCCCTCGGCTAGATTCAGCTCCACAGGCGCCGTGGTATCCGCCTCATCGTGGTTCGTGCTTGGAGCACTTTGTATACGCTTTCGGGGGCTGGCGTCACGGTTGTCCACTTCTCTTGAGGCCCAGCGAGAGTCCTCGCCATGGGCTCCTCCACGGTGGTTCTTTGAGCGTTTTGTCCCGCCATTGTTGGTAAGGACGTTCCGCACCCAGACTAGCTGGTCGGGGCTTTCGGTGGGACGCCGATCTAATACATTCAGAGACAAATTCAGAAGATAATAGCATCCAATGCAAAACGCAAAGCTTACATCAAAAGTATAGATACTTACAGTTTTGACTTGCGAAAGGATGTGGCGAAGGAACGTCTCGACCGCCCGCCCCCGCTCGCGCTTGCTCGGCGGTGTCCACTAGGGCTTGTTCAACCTCCCGAGACAGGCGCCGGAGTATGATGCGGCATGTTCCCTTCGTCTCGTGCTCGTGTTGCGAGTGGTCGGTCTTTGTGACCACCATCGCACAGAGGTGCCACCCGCTCCAACGGTCCCACCGCTTTCTCCTCTTTCGGGGACGAGCCGGAAGATGTCCGCATCCTCCGCTTCGCCGTCCGGCTGTGGGGAAGATGGATAACAGCGTCGTTCTCGGTAGCCGGACGCTTGCCGCGGCGGCTCTGGTCGAGGCGTCCTCTCACGGTCTCGAAGTACCGCCAATAACGTCGTCGGTCCGGCGCCTGGTGCGGGCGGTTGGCCCGATAGCTTTGTGGCCATTCTACACCGGGGAGGCGACACAAAACACTCGCTGCCGGTCACACAGCCATTACATCGAGACACAAAATGAAGTAAAAGACAGTTATTTTCTTGATGCAACATGACTCTCTGATTAAAAGGAGGCGTCATTTACCTTTGGGGAGGGCGAGCCGGCTTGAAGGCGTGTTCGATGGCGTTGATTGCAACATAATTGGGATCGGCCGGGTTGAGCAGCTCTCCAATCTCGGCCTTGATTTCCACCTTGTCGAGCGGCTCCTTCGGTCCTCGTCGGATCGGCGCCTCCTTGGTACTCAAGGTCGGGTGAATCCTTTTACGGCGGGCTGGATTCTTGGTGATGAAGTTGCCGACAACCTTTCGAGCCATCAAGCCTTCCCCACAGGATCATCCCGAAAGCGGTTCGGCGATCCGCTCCAAGTTCTCAAGCTTCCGACCACCGCTTTTCTTCTTTGGAATCGGTCCACATCGCACATAGAGTGATGGTGTTCGGCTCTTCACGGATGTAGAACCATTTCTTGTACCACTCGCCCAAGGAGGTGTTCGAGGCGGGCAGGGTATTGAGCCTTCATGCCGTCATGCAGAGTTCGTAAAGCGCCACCGGCGATCTTCGAGCCACCGCTCCCTTTCTTCCGAAGAGCAGAATAGGTGGCGAAAGAGGTCGAAATGAAATTTGGAAGCCACCATAAGCCTCGCAGAGATGGATGAAGGTGGAGACAAGAAGAATCGAGTTGGGATGCAGATTGCAAATCCCAATCTCGTAGTACAAGCACCGCCACGAAGGAAAGGGTGCACTAGAATCCCAAAACCCCGTTTGAAGAAATCTTCAAAGACCACAATCTCACACGGTTGTGGATCGGGAAGCTTTCTCCCTACCGGTGCACGCCATCCCATAAGTGCCTTGTTGTGGAGCACTCCCATGGCAATGAGGTCCTCGATGGTGCGCTTTCGTTGCTCGCGATTTCCACCATTCCTTCGCCATGACCTCGCTTTTCTTACAGGCGTCTCTCTTCGCCATTAGTTCGCGCTTACTAAGTGGGTGGATCACGAGACCAAGGGATTGGTGATGATTTTTGGGGCAATAGGGTTCGGCAGGAGGAAGAAGAAGGTTGCGGCGGATGACAATGGGGAGCAGTATGAGTAGCTTACGGATCGCATTATATAAAACAACGAGCACCGTCGTTTCGTCGCTTGAGAATATTGGGAGTCGTGCGACGCTGCGCCGCAGTGGTTGTTCACACAACCTCGAAATCTGCGCCAATAAACGCGCTCCTTTATTAACAGTGTACGCGCCTCCTCGTTGACGGTGTAAGGAGGCCCACACTGACACACCTCAATACAAGTGTCAACCGACTGTTTGCAAAAAAAAAAAAAGAAGAAGACAGAATGACGTACTGTACCTATTGACTTTTTTTGACCAGACGTGTCAGACTGGTCTTGGCAGAGAATAGAGAAAAGTACACAAAATAATAGTACAAGCGCGTAAGCAAGTGATCGTGGATTTGTTTTGACCACTCACGTGCTTGGATACCGCTTGACCACTTTTGTGCTCGGGGATCGCTCCGACCACGGCCGTGCTCGGGGACTGCTCCGACCACTGCTTGAATAATGGTTCTCCTTGGCTACATGTGATTTGTACTCACATACAGTTAAGAGACTTTTCTTTTAGACCTTGCTACAAGGCTCATACTTTGCTTTCCAGCAAGCTCGGGGACTACATCGGCAGACGATGCACCCGCCGCATGCATCTTGTATCGCTTTGTCTGGCAATTGGATTCTCAACCTCAGGTGAATTTCTTTTTTAGACCCTGGCACCACGTGCCTGCGTCACCTACTACCAGGCTCGGGGACTAAGTGGGCACACTTCACCTTGCGGTGAATGTGTTTGATTAAATTGACCCTTGTGTTTTGAATGGTTATGAGGATTATTAGTATGCTCGGGGACTGCCCCGACCACTGCTTGAATAATGGTTCTCCTTGGCTACATGTGATTTGTACTCACATACAGTTAAGAGACTTTTTTTTTTAGACCTTGCTACAAGGCTCATACTTTTGCCTTCCAAAGCAAGCTCGGGGACTAAGTGGGCACACTTCACCTCATGTGAATGTGTTTATTTCTAACCCCTACGCTCGATGTTTAAGGATGCTATGCTTCAAGACCACTTACATTTCTTTTGAAATACAAGTGGGCACACTTCTCAGAGACGTAAATCTTTTTCTTTTTTTCTTAAGAGCACCATACATTCTTGGACAACCTACTTCTCGGTGATGACGGTGGTGAGGCGTCAAGAATTCAAGCCTTGCTTGTCGGGAGAAGGTTAAAATGGCGTGTCGCATGACATAATACATGATGCTCGGGGACTAGCTGTGGGGTATTAACCCCTATACCCTTATGGCTAAGCTTGGGTTGGCTTTGGATCGATAGGTTGATCCACCGAAAGATGACGTCTTGCCCGATTAACTTTGATCGAGTCCCACACAAGGAATCAAGGCGATTTGGCGACCAAGCGAGGATCTGGTCGATTAGAATAGGAATTCTTATCCGGCCACATATGGCAATTATAATCGACTAGGATTAGTTTCAGATCGTAACCACGCCCTTCCGGACTATATAAAGTGAGGCGGGGACCCTCTAAAAATCATCTCTCATTGACATACAAACAATACAAATCGGGACGCAGGACGTAGGTATTACGCCTTCTTGGCGGCCGAACCTGGATAAAACCTCGTGTCTGTCTTGCGTCGCCGTCTTGTTTGGGACTTGCGCACCTGTCTGCCGATAATCTACTACCTTGGGCATACCCCTAGGTAGACTGCCGACCATATTTCGTCGACACATTGCGACAAATTGCTTTGGTATAATGAAGCCTTCATATGGTAGCTGGAGATCCGTACGCTTTTCTGCTATCTTTGATGGGGTGATAGGTTGTCGAGAGCTATAAGATCTCAAAGAGCGAGGTTAGCACACCGATCCCCAGAGGCAACTGCTTACGTATTAGATTGACGGTTTCGCAACGGACTATGGTGGCTAGTCCTGTATGACAGGGCTAGTCTAGTATAGGACAATATTGTGATGCTGCAAGCAGATTTAATGATGTGACGGTTATATAATTTATAATTGCATGTAGTGTCTAGCCCTGCTGGACAAATCCGAACTCAATGTGGGACAACATTGGTAACAATGGTGCAATGGTGCAAGTGGTGTCTCGGGTTTTTTTGTCTTAGACAATTTTAGTGCGGGGTGCAGTGTGACAATTGGCTGGCTGTTGCTGGGGACTTTACGGAGTACTCTTGGAAAGTTTAAAAAATGAAGGACTTTGGAGCTCAAAAATCTTGTAAGTTTTCAAGTGTTGTTAAAATCAAGCATGATTTATTTTGTTTGGGCTATGTTTAGATTGCAAATTTTTGCAATCTGGATACTGTAGCACGTTTCGTTTGTATTTGAGAAACTTTATCCGTTCATGGACTAACTAGGCTCAAAAGATTCGTCTCGTGATTTACAACCAAACTGTGCAATTAGTTACTTTTTTACCTACATTTAATGCTCCATACATGCGTACAAAAATTGATGTGATGAAGAGAGAGTGAAAAAACTTAGAACTTTTATGTCATCTAAATAAGACCTTGGATATGTTATCATAGCTTGTAGTATGTGGGCCTTGTTTAGATTGCAAATTTTTGTAATCTGGACACTATAGCACGTTTTGTTTGTATTTAACAAACTTTGTCTGATTATGAACTAACCAGGCTCAAAAGACTCGTCTCGTGATTTACAACCAAACTATATAATTAATTATTTTTTTATCTATATTTAATACTCTATGCATATATCTAAAGAGAGAGTGAAAAAACTTAGAATTTTGAGCCAATCCAAACGAGGCCGCGGTCAGTTCTAAAATCTCGGTTCCGTAATTCCAGAAGGCAACGTGTCAGAGTCCTTCATACATTCCTCCTTCCGCCTCGGGCCCGCCCGTCCTGAGGTCCGAGCTCGATGCAGCCGATCCGGCGGCGGCACCGAGGCTTTCCACTCCTCTGTCTCTCCGCCGCCCTCCTCGCTGCCGCCACTCTTTTCCCCGGCGCTGCCGTCGCCGAGGGCGTCACGCCCTCCGAGGCGCGCCGGTTCCGCGATGAGGTATGGCCGGCCCCTCAGATCCGCCGCTCCTAACTCTTCTACGCACTGTTAGTTCCGTAGCTTCGCTCGCCTAGCGAGTGCTTGAGTGGTGATTTTAGCGTTTTGCTTGGAGGTGTGAGGAGTATGGTGTTCGATTGCAAGAGTGGAGGTCCCAGCCTGCTTGCTTAGGGAGCTGATTTTGGAATTTCGGTTGATGATTGAGCGAATTTTTTAGCTTGCTTAGATTGATTGTCTGCTAATGCCTGATGCGAGTTGATCAGATCGCGGTTTTGTTCTCGTTATTCTGCTATTGCACATTTGCTTTTGTTCATGCTTGGTATGTTTTACCAATTATTATGGTAAATGGTTCTACTTGATCATGTGTTAAGCTTGTAGGCGTGTCTCAATCGTATATGTTTCAGTTCACGCTCATTTGAGTAGGCTGCTAGTTACCATGTCTGTGTCACAGTGGGTGGCCTTAGCAATCAAGACCAGGATACCAAAGAAGAGCCACTTCGTGGATCTTGAAGCTGATTGTCGGTGTTTCGAACCACTGGTAAATTTGTATCTGCGCGTTTGGCCCGGATGGTATGCTCGGAGGACATAAGGATTTATACTGGTTCGGGCGGAATGTCCCTACGTCCAGTCTGTTGCTGCTCGTGTTACCGGCACTAGTTTGTAGTAGGGGTTACAAACGGGTGAGAGAGGGAGAAGGTCCCAAGTCTCTGGTGAAAAGATCGAACGGAGTTGAGTCTTGTTGAGCTCGTTCAGCCGTGTGCTCGTGCCTCTCTCCCTCCATGGGGCGTCCTGCTTCTCCTTTTATAGGTGAAGGGGAAGGCGCAGGTTACAGAGAGAGAAAAGGAGAAAAGAGAGGGAGAAGATGGCCTCCAGGGTCGCGGCGTCCTTCATCTCCTTTATGCGGGTCCTGCTGGTCCTATAGATGATGACGGGGACGGCTCTACGTCGTGGCCCTATTCGTCACTGGCGCTATACGCAAGAATCGTCAGCCGGTCGCGGCGCTCCACTCCGTTCCGTCGGGCGGCGTGGTCAACAGGTACTCCTGTTAGAAGGGATTAGGCAGCACAGCGCTGGCACGCCTGACACTGTTGGCGACGTGAGCCCCCAGGTATGGTCCGCCGTGGCCACGGGTCACGTAGAGACGTGCCCGCTTCCCTCCCGGTGTCAGAAATTCCCTGGGGTCATACTCTTAGACCCTAGTGGTTGGAGGCGGTATGGATCCCTGTCGGGTGAGACGGAAACCGCGCCCAAGGGTTCTGGCGAGACGGAGCCCACGCCCTCGGGGTCGAGCGAGACGGGGCCCACGCCCTCGGGGTCGGGCGAGACCTTAAATACGTCTTGGACCATCCGGGCGAATTAACGTTCGTGGCCGTTAACTTCCTTCCTCCGGGTATCCCTAATATCGATACCCAACACTGATGTTGGCTGGCTGTGGTGGACTTAGCGATTGGCCAAAACTAGGGCGGAAAATTAAGGGCACAAAGATATCTATGCTGGCCGTCGTATCGGAAAATAGCAAAAATAAAGGAGAATTTCCTAGTCGAGATGGCGATTGAACTCCATGCTTAACTATATGGCGGGCCGCACAAAACTAGGTAGTTCTTCAAGATTTGCTTCATTCAAATCTCATGAGCAAAATATGAAACCAGCGTCTTCTCTGGTTTCTACTATTTCTTGTTTTGGAGGTGGGGGAGGTATGCTTCAATTGCGTTGCAGGACCACGAGCAAAATAAGAAACCAATGTCACTTCTCTTCAATTTGTAATCCTATTAAAGATGCTTAAAATAGATTGTCTAATCTAAGTCAATGTGCTAGATCCTTTTGAATGTGGAAATAGCCATAAGTGAAAACTTACCTGACACGGTGGAGGCCGAGACGCTCATGCACCGGGACACATGGCGCCCACAATGCCATGTGGCCAGCGCTGGTGGATGTAGACACGTCCTTGACATGTCGTCCCGAGTATGTATGTTGGCTAAGCGTCGAGCTTCGTCTTTGCCGAGACAACGAGCTCTCACTTTCTTTGCCGCCTGGCCTTTCGGCGATGTCGCGGATCTCGCGATGGGCCCGACGATCCTCCGGTGTCGCTGGCTCCGGGAGCCCTCGGAGCAAGGCCGCCGCGGCAGCGATGTTTTGTCTTGCCCGGGTGAAGTGTGGGAGGGCTCCATCGTCTTCGACGACCCTCCGGTTCACGTCGCGGGCCATGGCGCGCGCACGCCTACCGTATCCGCGGCGCTCGATCTCTCGCTCGAGCTCTGCGCGCTCTTGCTCGAGTTGGAGTCGTGCATCCTCGAGCTCCTGGTGCTGCGCCCTTAGCTGTTCCACCCGCATGCGAGGAAGGGCCCCTGCATCTTCCTCGACCTCGTCGTCGAGGTCGTTTGGTGGGGTAGCCCCTCCCTCGTGGACGCTTTCGACGCGTCCCTCGGGGGTACCTGCCATAAAACATTCTCGCGAGGGGTGATGGCTCCCCCTACTGGAGTCAGAATCGGAGAGCAACTCTGAATCTCCCGCGAGAAGGTCGTGAAAAGATTCCGCGACGTATTCGGTCATCCCTACGAACTCGTCATTCGTAGGGGATGGGTGTATGCGCTCCAACGGTCCCCGCAGCATCGCGCAGACCGAACGGAAATGCTGCCGGGGCGCCCCGGGTGAGGTGTTCCGGGGAGAGCGGTTCCCCTCCGGCGAGTTGTATCATGGCGTTGGCGATGGAGAAAGGACGGCAGCGCAGCTCCTCTCGGGACGATCTGGGTCCCAGGAAGGCGTCGAGTTGGCGCTCCATCCTCCCGTAGTCGAAGCCAAGGAGCCGGTCGCTCCCGGGGACACGGGCCTCCAGCGCGTGCAGCTGCAGCTCCTCAAGCGCCTCGACGACCGCGTCGAGGCCGGCGGAGTGGAGAGGCTGGACAGCGGCGGGAGCCTGCGCCAACTCTCCCACCGTCGCGACGATGAAGTCCGGGCTCCCGAAGCGCACGTGCGTGCCCGGGACCCAGCTGACGCCGTGACTAGCCATCCGAGGCCTGATGTGGACGTCGAGACGCGCAAAAACCCCCTACCTGGCGCGCCAACTGTCGGTGTTTCGAACCACCGGCTAGTAAATTTGTATCTGCGCGTTTGGCCCGGATGGTATGCTTGGTGGACAAAAGGATTTATACTGATTCGGGCGGAATGTAGTAGGGGTTACAAACGGGCGAGAGAGGGAGAATGTCCCAAGTCTCTGGTGAAAAGATCAAACAGAGTTGAGTCTTGTTGAACTCGTTCAGCCGTGTGCTTGTGCCTCTCTCCCTCCATGGGGCGTCCTGCTTCCTCTTTTATAGGTGAAGGAGAAGGCGCAGGTTACAGAGAGAGAAAGAGAGAGAAAAGGAGAAAAGCGAGGGAGAAGAAGGCCTCCAGGGTCGCGGCGTCCTTTATCTCCTTTATGCGGGTCCCGCCGGTCCTGTAGATGATGACGGGGACGGCTCCACGTCGCGGCCTTGTTCGTCATTGGCGCTATACACAGGCGTCGTCAGCCGGTCGCGGCGCTCCACTCCGTTCCGGTGGGCGGCGTGGTCAGCGAGATACTCTGTCGAAGCCGTCAGACGGGATTAGGCAAGACTGGCGCACGACGTCGTCAAATCGCTTATTGGCGACGTGAGCCCCCAGGTATGGTCCGTCGTGGCCACGGGTCACGTCGAGACGTGCCCGCTTCCCTCACGGTGTCAGAAGTTTGACCCTGGGGTCGTACTCTTAGGCCCGTAGTGGTTGGAGGCGGTATGGATCCCCGTCGGACGAGACGGAAACCGCGCCCAAGGGTTCTGGCGAGACGGAGCCCGCACCCGAGGGGTCTGGCGAGACGGAGCCCGCGCCCGAGGGGTCGGGCGAGACGGAGCCCGCGCCCTCGGGGTCGGGCGAGACCTTAAATACGTCTTGGACCATCCGGGCGAATTAACGTTCGTGGCCGTTAACTTTCTTCCTCCGGGTATCCCTAATATCGATGCCCGACACTGATGTTGGCTGGCTGTGGTGGACTTAGCGATTGGCCAAAACTAGGGCAGAAAATTAAGGGCACAAAGATATCTATGCCGGCCGTCGTATCGGAAAATAGCAAAAAAAAAGGAGAATTTCCCAGTCGAGATGGCGATTGAACTCCATGCTTAACTATATGGCGGGCCGCACAAAACTAGGTAGTTCTTCAAGATTTGCTTCATTCAAATCTCATGAGCAAAATATGAAACCAGCGTCTTCTCTGGTTTCTACTGTTTCTTGTTTTGGAGGTGGGGGAGGTATGCTTCAATTGCGTTGCAGGACCACGAGCAAAATAAGAAACCAATGCCACTTCTCTTCATTTTGTAATCCTATTAAAGATGCTTAAAATAGATTGTCTAATCTAAGTCAATGTGCTAGATCCTTTTGAATGTGGAAATAGCCACAAGTGAAAACTTACCTGACAATATTAAGATGCTTGTCTGCTTGCAAACCGCTTCCTCGGGCAGATGGTCATGTTTACTTAGATAGTCAAGCGTCCAGTGAAGGACGGTAAGAGCCGAGGTCCGGAAGGATTTGTGGAGGAATGAGCGACCAAGGGTGGGAAGCTGGGAACCGCTGTTCCCATTCAGCAAACTGGAAGGAGTGAGCCTGGAGTCACACCAGGTGACCTGCCAGGATGCGATGGATGATGCAGACAGTGCTACTGTGTGGGTGAGCCGGTGAGGGCTGGGATCGAGAGCAGGATAGGTGCCACCAGGGTTGTTGATTTACTCCTGCCAGCCGTTTGCTAGCTAGGGTTGGCATTGGGGAATCCCTGACTCCGGTGGCGTCCTCTGCTCAATGGTAAGGAGAGGGGAGGTGAGAGCGAGCTGAGAGTGAGGCAAGAGCCGTGCATGCATGCCTTGGTACTGGGAGTTGGTATTGGGCCAGACAATTAAATGGGCTGCTGGAGTGATTTATAGCCTGGGAGACTGGGGCCATTAGTTTGGACAGAGGCTGAAATATTGGGGAGGTAACATTTACTAAGCGAAAGACTAGGGCCTCGGGCCTAGTGACTGGTCCGCCCTGTTAGCTGGGCTAAAATATGAACCCAAACTACGAGGCGCAGCTGCGGTCAGTACAATTCTCCGAGATAAATTCTCCAAGGAACTTGATTTCCACATAGATATATCTTCCACATCACTCTTTTACGATAGCATGTGTTAATTTGGCAACCGATCATATTCGTTATCTTGTCTTGGATTAACTCATACCTACAAGGACAAGCTAGCCTTGTTGTTGACCCCTTATTTTATGGCAAGATTTATTTGCTTAAACACTGGCTCAAAATAGCATCTTTCATGTAGGTGAAAGATATGTTCTATCATGCATTTGATGGGTACATGAAGTATGCTTTCCCACTCGATGAGCTGCGACCCTTAAGTTGCCAAGGTGAAGACTCCCTTGGTGGTTACGCACTCACTCTTGTAAGAAACTGAGATTTGTGTGTATTTCATACAATCTGTCACCATCATGGACCTGTCATCATTCATGAACATTTGCTTCATTGAACAGATCGATTCTTTGGATACCTTGGCTTTGCTGGGTGATAAGGAGAAATTTGGTGCTGCTGTGGAGTGGGTTGGTAAGAATGTCCGCTTTGATATTGTAAGTAAACATGTGGACCATTAAGTGAATTTGGTTGTACTAACCAGATACTTCAGACTGAATATTCACTAGAATCAAGTAACTGTATTGAATTTGTTTTGCCGATACATGGTCAATTCTTGAGTTTGCATCTAATGTGAATGAGTAGATGCTAATTAACATTTATGCATCCATTTGGTAGTCTCTGAATCTCTGATTGGCAGCAAGATTTTTAGCTACTAACTGAAAGTACTAATGTGAATGTGTGATGTAAATATTTAATGCAACGATGAGTTGAAATCTCATTTCCAAATTTGCATGTATTAAAACCTTTGTGAATGTGGTTACACTATCTTTACGCCCTTTTAACCAAATACTACCATAATTCTCTCATCTGATAGAAAGTACTTCAGCTCATTTTCAGTATCTCCTGTAGATGTTTGAGAAAAAGTATCTCCTATTGACTGGATAGTTTATAACTTTGCATGTAAGAACTTGTATACTGTTGGGTTTGTGAAAAAAAATTGCTAAACTGGCTTGCTCTACAACTACAAGCCATATTTGACAATTTAGAATATGGTAGTGTAATAGAGCACATTCTTGAAAGTTTTAGACTTATAACTTACTTAGGTGAGTCATGATGATTATATCTGTTGCAGTATATGTTAAATTTTGTATTTCGGAAGCTCTGCACTAATAATCAAATGGTATTCCTGAAATATTATCACTGTAGCTTCTAATCTAGTCCCTCTGTTCCAATTTTTCTCGAACTACGGTCCCTCTGTTCCAATTGTAAGTCCTTTTAGATTTGTACTGAGTCAAACTTGCCTAACTTCAACCAAGTTTATAGAAAGATATATCTACATCTACAATATCAAATAAATGCACTATCAAAATAAATTTCATGGTGCATCTAATGAATCTAGTTTGGTGTCGAAGATGTTTGTGCATCTTTTTATAAATTTGGTCAAAGCCAAACAAGTTTGACTTGTTGGTCCCTGGGATCCTTGCACAGTTAAGCAGCTAGCTTACCAGCACACCCACACACTCACTTTGGCTAGAGGTAGAAGAAAGGGATGAGCACAGCACACACAGCCGAGCAGCAGCAAAGCTGCTCTGAATGTTGCTTCAGCTGAACTGAATGTTTCCATTGCCTTGTGGTGATATATATACAAGCTACAAGTACCATACAAGTTACAAGGTACACCTACTCCTATGTCCTCTAGGACATGGCTGATTTCAGCCCACTACTTGGTATGGCTGAGGTATGCCAATACCAGCTAATGTACTAACTAGTACTAGGTAGTACTAGGTATGGCCTATTGCCTTACTGTACAGCAATCAGCACAGCAGAGACTTGACCAAATGCCAACTCTACTGTGCAGCAAAACAAAGAGAGATCAGCAACAAATTATGTCTTACAATTCTTCCCCTAATCCTGCTGCTATCGTGAAGCCTTGACCTCATCCATGCCAATCATCTTCCTCAGCTCCATGAACCGCAGGCACCCGAGTGACTTGGTGAGGATGTCAGCGAGCTGTCTGCCGATCTCGACGAACTCGATGACGATCTGTCCTCAATCGATGCAGTCCCGATGGAAGTGGAACTTAATGTCGATGTGCTTGCTCCGGTCGTTGAAGACTGGGTTCTTGGCGAGGGCGATGGCGGGTTGATTGTCCACCATCAGAGCTGGCGGGTGAGCTTCTTCGCCGGTCAGCTTGCCCAGCAGCCGGCGCAGCCAAACAGCCTGGCACGCCGTCGTGGCCGCTGCAACATACTCCACCTCACATGTTGACAGCGCCACGATCTTTTGCTTCAGCGACTGCCAAGCAATGGGGGCCACTCCAAGGAAGACGAGCACACCAGAGGTGCTCCGTCGCCCGTTGATGTCGCCTGCCATGTCTGCATCGCTGAAAACCGTGAGCTCTGGCGCACCTTCCTTGGTTTTGGGGGTGCCTCACTGAAGACCGTGAGACGCAGCCCACCCTTGTCGCCATGCTTGGGGAAGATGATCGCTTGATCGAGCATCCCCTTGACGTAGCGCAGCAGCCTCTTCACCGCCGTCCAGTGATCTTCACACGGGTCCTCCATGAAACGTCTGACGTACCCGACCGCGAACGCGATGTCCGGCCGAATGTGCGTGAGGTACCGACGGCGTGGAATGCCAAGTTGGATTCCACGCTAAAGGGGATGGGCTTCGAGCAAAGCCCGCACGAGGCGGCCATCTACCGACGGGGCAGTGGAGGAAATGCTCTGCTGGTGGGTGTCTACGTCGACGACTTGGTGATCACTGGCACCAAGGATACGGAGGTGGCGGCATTCAAGGAGGAGATGAAGGCCACCTTCCAGATGAGTGACCTGGGGCCTCTCTCCTTCTACCTGGGAGTCGAGGTGCACCAGGATGACTCCGGGATCATGCTTCGACAGACCGCCTACGCCAAGCGCGTCGTTGAGCTAGCTGGGCTCACCGACTGCAACCCAGCTCTCACTCCGATGGAGGAGAGGCTGAAGCTGAGCCGCGACAGCACGACGGAGGAGGTGGACGCTACGCAGTACCGGCGTCTTGTGGGGGAGCCTTCGCTACCTCGCCCACACACGGCCGGACTTGGCATTCTCCGTCGGCTACGTTAGTCAGTTCATGCAGCGACCGACGACGGAGCACCAGCAAGCTGTGAAGAGGATCATCCGCTACGTTGCGGGGACTCTCGACCACGGCCTCTACTACCCTAGGTGCCCTGGGGCGGCACACTTCGTCGGGTACAGCGACAGCGACCACGCCGGCGACATCGACACCAGCAAGAGCACGAGCGAGATCCTCTTCCTCCTCGGCAAGTGCCTCGTTAGCTGGCAGTCGGTCAAGCAGCAGGTGGTGGCCCTGTCCAGCTGCGAGGCCGAGTACATAGCGGCCTCCACCGCTTCGACTCAGGCGCTCTGGCTCGCTCGACTGCTTGGTGATCTCCTCGGCAGAGACACTAGAGCGGTGGAGCTCAGGATAGACAGCAAGTCCGCTCTGGCCCTGGCAAAGAACCCCGTTTTCCATGAACGGAGTAAGCACATCCGGGTGAGGTACCACTTCATCCGAGGCTGTTTGGAGGAAGGGAGCATCAAGGCAAGCTACATCAACACCAAGGACCAGCTTGCGGACCTGCTTACCAAGCCTCTTGGGAGGATCAAGTTCCTTAAGCTCTGCTCCAGGATCGGGATGGTTCAACTTTCCCACAAGACGACGCACAAGACTTAGGGGGAGAATGATGGGATAAGTCTCTGTGTTGGCTGGTCTTTGTGGGGCTGCAACATATGGTCCTTGTGGCTGTTCTTGTGGCTGCATGGTGGTCTTGCTGCCCATCAAGGACAGCATCCTTGACTGACTAGGACAACATCTTAGCATCTAGGACAGCATCTGTTTTAGAACAGCATCTTAGCATCTAGCATCTTGGCATATGCTTGCCTGGCTAGCAGCCTATAAATATGTATCCCCAACCCCTCAGGTTGATATGGCATTTGTGTGAGAAATAAACCAGAAAATTGCCCCAACTCCTAGTGTCATCCTCTCTCAATGAGAGTAAGAATTCTGCTACTACTAAGAGTAAGAATTCAGCGACTAACAAGTGTCACCTGCCATCGCCGACGATCAGTCCGGGAGATGCAGCAACCTGTACGGCTCAAATACCACTTGCTGGTCCCTGGGATCCTTGCACAGGTAAGCAGCTAGCTTACCAGCACACCCACACACTCACTTTGGCTAGAGGTAGAAGAAAGGGATGAGCACAGCACACACAGAGCCGAGCAGCAGCAAAGCTGCTCTGAATGTTGCTTCAGCTGAACTGAATGTTTCCATTGCCTTGTGGTGATATATATACAAGCTACAAGTACCATACAAGGTACAAGGTACACCTACTCCTATGTTCTCTAGGACATGGCTGATTTCAGCCCACTACTTGGTATGGCTGAGGTATGCCAATACCAGCTAATGTACTAACTAGTACTAGGTATGGCCTATTGCCTTACTGCTACAGCAATCAGCACAGCAGAGACTTGACCAAATGCCAACTCTACTGTGCAGCAAAACAAAGAGAGATCAGCAGCAGATTATGTCTTACATGACTTAGGACAAAGCTAAAATGACTTACAATTTGGAAAGGAGGGAGTACTCAAATAAAATTGCTTTGTTTGTTGTTGAGAAAATTTAAGTATGTGCCATTGAATCCCATTTGAAAGATTCTCTTGGTAATTCCAATTTTCATGTGTCTTTTCTTCTGTATCGAAACTTGTACTAAGCATGCTATTATATTTATGTAAATATTCTATTGTTTTGGTGTTTTTAGTTTTATGCAATGTAGCTGTTTTACTACTTGATTAAAGGTTAAGTGTATAGGTTAGAACTTAGAATGCTACCTTTCGGCTACAACATTTAGTAGCCTATTAACACCACATTTTTGTTTGCGGTATATGCTGCTTGAACAATCATATTTCCTTACTGTGTATGCAGAATAAAACCGTCTCTGTTTTTGAAACCAACATACGTATCCTTGGGGGTCTGCTATCAGCTCACCTGATTGCCAGTGATTATGCCACTGTATGTCTGTTCTATCATGTGCATTCTTTTTTCCTTTGCTCGTAATCTCTTTAACTAACTTCCTGATAGTTGCTATTCACTGGGTGCTTTACTCTTTTTTCCTTTTTTAGTACTGCTGCGACATGAAATCATTACTGAAGTTGCACTGCAAAACGAAAGCTAATGTAAGATCATATTGGAAAAAAAAAGTGGCCATGGAAAGTAGTCATCCCCCTGGGCTCTGGGCCTCTGGCTTTGTCTTAATTAATACAAAGGAGTTTCAGACCCTGTAAGGAAGTACTCATGCAACCTGTGAGTACCTGGGTTCGATTTCAGGTTGGCAGCCTCTCTCAACTGGAGGCTCTACCAACTGAGCTATCACTCAGATGATATTGATATGTCAACATCTATTATCATTGTGAATGTGGTTGTATTAATGGGTGAATGGTAGGCAGGTCCATTGGTACTCAACAGTGAGTCATAATACTAGCAAGCTACCTTACCTTATTTTATTTATTGAGAATGGCTGCTTAGGATTGTTCCTTGATGTGGAACATTTACTTGAGTTCAGTAACTGATAACTGATTACATTTCAGTTATGACCAAGTTGCTGGTTACCTTTATAGGCATAAGTCCATCTGCTCCACTCGTTATGGATATATGGGTATTGCAATTAGGCCCCACAAACTATTTAAAAAACCTTTCTATATACTAATTTATGTTTTATAGTTGAGGTTATCTAATATATTAAAATGGCTGAATGCTGTGGATTAAGTACTGCACTTTCCTGATGTTTCTTTAGCTTTTTCTTTGTGATTGTTGCAAGGGTTCTGGAGCCTTTTCAAGTTTCACTAAATGTTGTTGTACTGAATGTGGAAAAAATGCCGTGAAAGTGAAATAATCTACAGTAAAATTGAAAAAAAATGAAACGGTGGACATTTCACTGTGCTACTTTCACCCACAGTATCATGCCAACTATTGTGTGTGCATAGATGAATAATGCATGCATGTTTCTAAATCCGTAAAACTTAACAGGGTTAAACCAACAGATATCGAAATGTAATTTGAGTGTTTTAACCTTCGTATTTTATTCATGCCTAAGACTTGAGAAGATTTCAGAGTTATTATGTGTAAGCAATAAAATTAGCATAATGCCTATAGGGGGTCAAAACCAAAAAATACTGTGAACTGAAAGTTTTGCTTCTTGTTATTTGGATCCTAATTGCTAGTCTTGTGTATTAAGAGTGCTTCTTGGGCAAAGAGATTTTTGAAGGCTAATACAGTTCAAGTGGTCCAATTCTTATTGTAGCTTCTCATTGACAGGGTATGAGAATCCAATCTTATGATGACCAGTTACTTCATTTAGCTGCTGACTTAGCTCAGAGGTTGTTGCCCGCATTTGACACTCCTACAGGTTCATTACCTTTTCTATTATTATAATCTTCCTGGAATGACTGGTTATATCTTGCATCAGACATTTGATTCCATTTTTTTTCGTGGTTTTTGTTGTAAAAGGATCGTTTCCACTGGTCAGGAATTGTCACTTGGCGATACACGGAATTACAAACACACAACTGCATTTGATGCTTTACTCTAATAAAACATAAATATGACACAAACATTGCTTAGTGATGGAAAGAACTTCATGATAGTCATATTAACTTATCTCCAAGTTTGCAGACTGAAACTGGATGTCATATAGATATAGTTATACTAGGTGATAACCCGCGCGTTGCTGCGGAGAATTTGAAGTATGATTACAGAAGCATCTTAGAACCCAAACTAAACATTTGATCATAACATTTTGGGAAAAGACTAACTAGTTTTTTAGAATTAGGAAGTACGGGAAGTGCAAAGATCGAGCTTTACCTGGAAGATATATACATATTTTTTTTTAAAACTAATTACTGGGCATGAGTACACAGGAAGAATAGTTTTGGTTGTTGCACAAATGCGCATGATTCATGAGGGCCTCTTTGAATGAACATACACCCAATACACTGATACGCAAAAAAATAGGCATGTAAAAATGTAAGAAACATAGGGATCCAAACCTAAACAATTTCTAAAAGAAGGAAGCATAAATTTGTGACATGTTTATTGAATATGATCTAAAAAAAAGTACCTGCATCTACAGCCAATAGAAAAGGCATCCTGAACGGCTCTTTATATGAAGATACTCAAAGCAGTAGGAAATCTATCGACCTTATAAATATAAACTGGTGAGCCATAGATGTGGTGGAAATTGTAACCTGAAGGGCATGAATTCACGTTTGAATAGAAGAGTACGAAAAAGGAGAGTGATCAGAACAGCTGATAAAATCTTGCACAGTGTTGCATTATTTTACAATTGAGGGAACCTAGCTACAGAATGATGTTGAGAATTGAGATAGAAGAATATGAGATAATGCTGTGTTTTGAGGAGGCTAAAGATCAGAGAGTCTTCCAGGCACATAGCTTCATATAGTTGCCAAAGCTCCATGTAGAGCAGCCTGCTAACGCACATGGGTGCTGAAGCAAAAGCTGTTGTAAGGACAATGGACTACAGGATTGGATGAACCGATTGAAGCCCATGGCCAGCTACCCACCTGCAAAAGGTTTGGAAGTATAAAAATCAAAGGAGATGAGGATGAGTGATTTGGTGGACAGGTGTTTCTGAAGCCAAAACGATAAGGCATTTAGGCCAGAAGATAGTTCGGCACATCCTTGATTAACAGAGTAATAAACTAATAATCATAGCATTGGGAGAGGAGAGGATGTGAGAGGATGAACGTACATGATTAAATAGTGGCTTCAAATCTGACGGATACTATTTGGAGATGACGTGGCTTGCTGTCGTTGCAGCTTTATAGCAATCATGATTGCTTGTGGCCTCCGTCTATATAGGTATATAGGATAGGATGTGGTTGTGTCAAGGGCCTCGACGCCCAGGGTAGCCGGCCCTTGGCTACGGAGGTTGTAGCCGCGGTCCGTGTCGCCTCCGGTGAGGTTTTGCCCCTCCACCGTGAGTTTGGTTAGAGAGAAGAGAGAGATTAGGGATAATGATCTTTCTTAATTTGCAAAGTGCCGGATACAATAATAAATAGCCCATGGCTGGAAAGGCGCCATGCCTACAATTTAGGAAAGCCAACAAACTAATAGGAAAGCCAAATAACTAATTGCTACTTGCTAAACTTAGCCACTAACGGTGGCCTTCCCAATGAGAGTCTGGCGCTCTACTACATGCAAGACGCCACGCAAGACGCGGCGTCTCACGTCTGGCGCCCCACATGACATCTCCCCCTTCCTCGAGAGCCAGCGCGTCCTCGAGCTGGAAATCTGGGTACTTGGCGGAGAAAGCGTCGACGTCTTCCTGAGTTCGAGAGGCAAAGCGACTCGCCCTTCCGGTGAATCAAGACTGGCGCACACGCGCGCTAGGCGCGCGTCTTGACGGCGCGTTCGGCTCGGAATAACAGCACCATGCGGACGGCGAGGAGGCGGTGGTGGTGCATCCGTGATGAGCCATGGAGCGGCTTGAGTAGCCCAACATGAAACACGTCGTGCAGACGGGCACGTGGCGGCAGAGCGAGGCGAACCGCGACGTCGTTGATGAGCTCGGTGACGCGGTAGGGCCCGTAGAAGCGCGGGCGCAGCTTGCCGGTGACGGACTGGGGCATAGAGGCCGTCGGTCGATGGCGTGGCGGAGCAAAGCACCGCCCCCCCCCACCTTGACAAAGACTTGGCGGTGGTTCTTGTCGTAGTGATGCTACGGACCGGTGAGCTTGCTCAAAGTGGTAGCGGATGTCGGCGAGGAATTCATCCCGCGCTTCCTGTGGATCTGATGATACCGCCGCCACCTGGTCTCTCCCGGCGTGTAAGACCGGATGGATGGGGGATCCGGCCGTAGACGACGCGGAACGGCGTATCCCGCAGCGACGACTGGTAGGCGGTGTTGAAGACGTACTCCGCCCATGGCAGCCACTGGAGCCACTGCCTCGGCCGGTCCCCAGTGAGGCATCGCAGAACATGATGATGACGCGGTTGGCCGACTCGGACTGCCGTCCAATTGACCGGGGTGAAAGGCTGTCGTCATGTGGAGCCGGGTGCCCACCAGCCGCATCAACTCGCGCCAGAAGGTGGAGGTGAAGACCGTGTCCCTGTCCGACACGATGGACTGTGGCACGCCGTGGAGACGAACGATCTCGGCGAAGAAGACTTGGGCGACCGACTCCGCGGAGTATGGGTGGGGACAATGGGATGAAGTGGCGATGATTTGTTGAACTGTCCACCACCGTCAAGATGACGGACTTCCCCCCGGACCGGCGGCGCCTCCACAAAGTCGAGGGCGATGTCGGACCACACACCTTTGGGGCACGCAGGCGTGAAGGAGGAGGCTCCGGATGGAGATGTTCCGACTTAGAAGCGCCGACATGTAGGACACGCCCGCCCGCACCCGATCCTGCGCACGTTTGTTTCATGTTAGGAAAATGGAAATCTCGCCGCGATCGATGCAACGTCGTTGAACGCATTTCGTGTCCTTCGCGTGAGCGGCCGCCCGGATTTTCAGGCGGCAAGAAGGGCGAGGCGGTGGGATGTACAACCGGCCATTGAATCGACGAGCCCATCCACCGGCGCCCATGGGAGCCTCGGAGCCCGCGGCGAAGCTCTTCCCTGGAGGGCGGCGAGGCAGGTCGAGGCTCGTGCTGGCGGCTTGTCGATGAAGTCAAAATGTGGAGCCGATAGCGCCAGGATAGCGCCCTCCGTTGGTGTATCACGGCGGCGTGCGGCGGGCGTCCACCCATTCGTTCGCTGCCCGGCTTATATTCGATTGTGAAGTCGAAGTTAAGCAAACTTCCCCACCCAATGGTGTTGAGGTATTGTCGCGAGCCACCGATCGAAAGCGGTATTTAAGGTCAGTAATGATCGGTCTTGATGGTGAAGCTCGTCCCCCAAAGGTACGGCCTCCAGTGCCGAACAGCGTGCACGAGGCCGATCAGTTCACGCTCGTAGGCCGCAAGCGCGCGATGGCGAGGTGCCACCGGTCGACTGAAGAAAGCCACAGGGTGGCTGTCCTGGACCATGACGGCCCCGAACCCGTGGGAGGACGCGTCGCACTCGACGATGAAGGGCTGGAGAAGTCCGGCATGGAGAGAACCGGGTGGTGGTGATCGCTTCTTTGAGGGCGCGAAAGCCGCCGAGGCCTCACTAGACCACGTGGAAGCCTTCCTTCTTCAAAGAGAGCGGTGTGAGCGGCGATGGTGCCGTAATTATGCACGAACTTGCGGTAGTACCCGCCAAGCCGAGAAACCGCGAACAGTATGGCCGAGCGGCGGATGTCGCCGCCCCCGCCGCACCGCATACCTTGGCGGGTCCATGGCGGCGCTTTGCCTCGGAGATGGCGTGGCCCGTGCACGCGACGGAGGTATCTTGGCGAAGGCACACTTGGCGCGCTTGAGGAAGAGTTGTTGGCGCTGGAGCTCGGCGAGGACGGCGCGGATGTGTCGAAGGTGGTCCGCCCATGTTCTGCTTTGTAGATTAGGATGTCATCAAAAACACAAGAACAAACCGGCGGAGAGAGGCAGGCGGAGGACGTCGTTCATGAGCGCCGAGCGTCGCCGGCGCGTTGCACAAGCCGAACGGCATGACCAGAACTCGTAGAGGCCGTCGTGGGTGCGGAAGGCGGTCTTGTGGATGTCGGTCGGCCGCATCCGCTTTGGTGATACCCCGAGCGGAGATCCGGGCTTGGTGAAGAACGCGCCCATGGAGCTCATCAAGGAGCTCGTCGACGGCGAGAATTGGGAAGGCGTCCTTGGACCGTAATTGCGTTGAGGGCGCGGTAGTCGACGACGCAGAACGCCACGACCGGCCCCGCTTCTTGACGAGAAGGACAGGGGACGAGAACGCGGAGTCGCTGCGGCGGACAATGCCCTTGGCGATCATGGCGGCACACTGCCGCTCCAATTCATCTCTGGGGGCCGCCGGGTAGCGGTAGGGCGAAACGGCTACCGGTTGCACACCGGGTTTGAGGACGATGTTGTGGTCCCGCCACGTTGTGGAGGTAGGGGCCGAGGGCTCGGCGAAAACCCCTCGGAAGGAGTCCAACAACTCGTCGAGGAGGTCCCTGCGCGCGGCCGGTGTGGGCTGCGAGAGACAGGCCGGCGCGCAGCAGACCACATCGACCAAAGACACCGGTCGGTCTGGCGAAGCGAACGGCGTGTGGTGCGTGTTTTGAAGTCCCACGTGATCGGCCCCTGTGGTAACCAACCATTGAGTCCCCGGGGCGACATCGTAGTTCGCCCGGCCGCAATATGAAGAGATCCACCTCGAACGCCCGCCCTCGGCGGAAATGGGCGCTGGCGTAGGACGCAAGAACACTGGAGCTTCGCCGTTCGCCACACGATGTGGCGGTAAAGGCGCGGCTTGGGCTGGATGGCGGCCAGGCGTGGCGCGCCGCCGCCTCCGGCGATGAAGTTATGAGAGAGAGCGGTGTCAAGGAGGGCGGTCGGCGTCGCGCCCACCAAGACCGGACACGCATGGTGTCGCGCAGCGGCACGGCCACCCGTACCGCTGCGGCGAAAGACCCGAGCCTCCAGATCGGGGCCGTCCAGGCGGCGTCTTCGTCGTCGTTGAGCGTGACCCGGCTATATAGAAAAGAGGCGGCGGCGAACCGATTATGGCGCGCGGGAGTACTTTCGTCGCAGATTATAACACTGCCCCAAGCGACGGCGTTCGCGCTCTCCTCCCGTCGAGCGTCTCACCACCGTCTTAGGCTCTGGCGGCACCCCCGGCTGCCAAAGCGATGGCGGCGGCGGTGGCGGCAGCGCGCGAGAAGCGCGAGCACGCGGCAGTCTTTGGGGAGCGAGCATGGGTGCCGGTCGGGCAGAGCCGGCGCCAAGGCTCGCTTGTCAAGCTCCATCGGCTCCACAAGGCGAGGCTCATGGCGGCGCGATGGCGATCTGCGGATTGTGGATCCGCACCGCATGGCTCAGCGGCGGCAGAAGACCCCCCGTGAAGAGCTGGACGCGCTGCGTTTCCTCCAGGGGCCCGGCGCGGGGTAGGAGCGCCTGGAACCGGTTCTGGTACTCCTCCACGGTGCCTGTGCGCCGGCACTCCGCGAGCTCGAAGAGGGGAGCAGAGCGCAGGGGCGGACCGAAACGCAGCTGGAGAAGGTCCTTGAAACGGCTCCACCGAGGAACGCCCTCGTCATCCCGGAGCCGGAGGTACCACGGTGGCCACGTCCTCAAGATTATACGAGGCCATCCACACCTTCTCCTCTTCCATGATCCGCTGTTGATGGAAATAAGATTCACAGCGGCTGACGAAGATGAGCGGATCGACCGTACCATCATAGCGCGGGAAATCCATCTTCTGGAACCGCGGAGGGCGATCGTTGTGGTGCTGGCCGTCCATGGCCCCGCCCGGACCTGAGGACGATGAGGACTTGTCCTTGTCCTTCTTCAAGGCCGCGACGTCGGACTGCAGGGAGGCGATCGTGCCGGTGAGGCTCGCGATCATCTGGGCGATGTCGGCGTTGGAGGGATCCGCCATGGGAGATGTAGCGGAGGCGGCTGATGGTGGGGAGTCCGGTGCGCTGGGAATAGGCGCGACAGAGGTGGGCAGCGTGGCAGCGGAGGATGAAACGGCGGCGGCGGCGGACGAACGGGATCGGTATGACCGTGATACCAGGTTGTCAAGGGCCTCGACACCCAGGGTAGCCGGCCCTTGGCTACGGAGGTTGTAGCCGCGGTCCGTGTCGCCTCCGGTGAGGTTTTGCCCCTCCACCGTGAGTTTGGTTAGAGAGAAGAGAGAGATTAGGGATAATGATCTTTCTTAATTTGCAAAGTGCCGGATACAATAATAAATAGCCCATGGCTGGAACTGCCATGCCTACAATTTAGGAAAGCCAACAAACTAATAGGAAAGCCAAATAACTAATTGCTACTTGCTAAACTTAGCCACTAACGGTGGCCTTCCCAGCCGAGAGCTGGGCGCGCTCTGCAGCGCGGCGCACGTCACGCGCACGGCGTCTCACGTACGAGCGCCCCCACATGACAGGTTGTTTCATATTCTCAGTAGTTAATCTGATTTTTACTGCACTGCTTCAATGGATGCAATTGTTGGAGACATGCAAATTGTGTAAGTCATCATTTGAATTGAAACCTGCTTACACAGCTACACCTGAACCATTTTGGTACTCTTTACTAACACAATCTTGGACATAAATCTGTTCTGAGTGTGTTCAATATCATACATGAAGTAATTTGCTAAATTACACTACTGTTCCTACCAACTACCATATGGAAATTCTTCGCGACACTGACATTTTGCGTGCCAGGCCAGGCTGAAAAAAAGCCTGATAATTTTTGGGCCTAAAATTCGTGCCCATTAACAGCCCTGGGCAGAGTCGGCGTGGTGTTTTTGTCCTGGGTCTGGATGGCCCGACTGCTATTTTCCAGCAGAAAAATAATTGTAGAAATTGTTTCGGGCTGGCCCGGTTTTTCATGAGCCTGGTTTCCTCTGCCCAGGTCTGGCCCTAGAGCAGTCATGGGCTGGGCTTGGGCCAGGCCAGTTTTGTTCCGGTCATTTGCTTTACAGTCAACTTGAACAAAATACCATTTTACCTTCTTAATATACTGATGCGCAGCTCTCTTGCGTTTTTGAGAAAAAAAAATATCATGTTATGTTCTTAATTTCCTATGTCTTTCTTGACTAGTGTTGTCTTCACAGGTATTCCATTTGGATCTGTTAATTTAATGTACGGAGTCGATGAAAATGAAAGCCAGGCAAGCTTCTTTCTTCCTCCTATTGCTAGCTGTAGAGCTTGGTAAACAGAAATAGTTCTTCATACCTCTAATGATTTTGAATCTGAATATTGATTTTGGAACCACTAAAAGAACATAAAGAGCTTACCCAGTGCTGAAAGCTCCCACACAAGATAGCATCTGGGGAAGGTAGTTTCTAGGTTGCCTTGCTCTTGTTTATTTTATAAGGAGGCTGAATGGAGAGACTACCAGTGCACCAGGGGTACCCAGTGCTGAAACAACTAAAAGAACATATAGCTGAAGTTTTGAGACACCTGTCTCACATTTGTTTTTCTGTTCATCGCAATAAACATCACCCTGTCAATCACATTTGTTTTTCTGTTCATCGCAATAAACATCACCCTGTCAATCTCACCTAGTTTTCCATTTGTGCTCAAATGGGCATAAGCAGCTTTGAGTTTCACTGCTGAGAGCTGACACTCTTATTCCAGATAACATCAACGGCTGGTGGTGGTACTTTGACACTGGAATTTGGCATATTGAGTCGCTTGACTAATAATACTGGTAAGTCCTAATATGTGTAATTGTGCACTGTTTTGACGACGGCGCTGATATACTGTACATTTTCTACATGTACAAGGGCTAGGACCTTTTTTTTTTGCAGTTTATGTTGACCAGTTAGTATGCAGGGGATATTTTATGCAAACTCTTCAAATAGCAATGGCAATGTGTGTGTAGACTTAAATAGTCATTATGTAAAAAATGCACATGTATATGTCAGAATACTCTGTATTAGATGTTCAGAACACAATACTGCATACCTTTGATCATTGACCATGGACAAACTTTATAACTGAAGATTAGTTATCATGCTTAACATAAAATGTCCTCTACAGTGTACAGCTTAGATAAGTGGTTATGCTTCTTGGTCTGTTAATTTCATGCTTCGTTTACGTTGGTCATGTATCATACTTAAACAGAAGAAGATGGCCTCTGGACAGTGATTTTGGTACTCATTATTCATCTGTTGTACCATAATTTTAAGTCCTCTACTTCTTTTTTGCAGTTTTTGAGAGAGTTACAAAAAAATCAGTGCGTGGAATATGGTCACGCAGATCAAAACTCAATCTTGTTGGTGCCCATATAAATGTTTTTACTGGTGAATGGACACAGAAGGTTTGGTTTTGTCCTTTCAGTGGTAGTTTTAAAGCAACTGCTAGCATTCTCTCTTTAATATTTTAACTACGTGTATTTCGTTACATTTGTGGAGCCATGCAGCAAGCAGCATACTGTCAGTGATGAATATCATGCTGAGATGATGACCTGCTATTTCTGTCTATTAAGTTGACATGTAATTGATAATACCAATATTTCAAGAACGCACTAGATGCTAGGCAGGCGGTGATGCTTTGCCTAGAGTTTAGTCGTGGCCTAGGGCTGTTGTACTTTTTGCATGCATCTGGGGTAATGTCTTGTTCAATAGGCATATTAAAATTAAGAATATGACAATATCATGCATCCATGAGTTCTGTGGCCATAGGCTGCCGTTCTCCACCTCTCATTTGTCCCAGTTTTATAATGAGATCAAGTTCTAAACCCCTTTAGATGAGAAAATGCCTAGGTGTTGTGTCATTATGTGAGGTGATTTTGCTCCACCTAGTGCCTAGGTGCCACGAATCTCCACCTAGCCAACTAGGCTTCACCTTTTCAGACAGAGTTGATAACCCCCATGGACTGGAACCATTTTGTTATGTATCCAAGATGTTTGAGTTTTCTTCCTGACTGGTTACATGACTATTTTACTAATGTAATTGTTGTTGCATGACACATAAGTATATAGATATATTTTTAACAATGTTTTTATTTTCTGCAATGCTTAAATTTTAAGGTGATTGATCATCATGAACTATTGCTAATGATGTTAGTTTTTTCCCTGGTTGTAGGATGCTGGAATTGGCACAAGCATTGATTCATTCTATGAATATCTTCTAAAGGCAAGAAAGGCCACATGTTTATTATTTTTGGTGTTCATACTTCATATTTGTTCATCCCGGTGCCTTGAATCATATTTTTTTTTTTTTAAAAAAAAACTTCACATCCTTACAAAGTATTCAAGGTATGCCGTACTGAATCACTGATAATGTCATAAAATGATAATGTCATAAAATGAGTTACACTGCAGGTCCTTAAAACTTGTGCAATATTCTGAAGTTAATGAGCCTAGAGTTTATTTATAGCCAAGATTGTGTTTACGTTACCAACAATTCAACACAACTCCAGGAGCACAGTGTGCACTAAACAAATCTGTGGCTATAAATGCACGATTCTCAGGTTTTTTTTTTTTTTTTTGGAATGATTCTCAGGTTTCTTACTTGAACATAGCACGCAAATTTTAAGGAACCAACATAATCTACTCTCAACTAGTCTCAGATTAGATTATTGAAGTTATCCCCGATATATATTCTTTGCTAGAGCTTGGACAAAACTAGGCTCGTCACCTAGCTTTGTTCATTCTTCCTTTTCGTTTACTATTTACTATCAAACATTCTAACAGTTAATTTTGTATGCCAATGTTCAACAGGCATATTTATTGTTTGGAGATGATGAATACCTGTATATATTTCAGGAGGCTTACAAAGCTGCCATGCACTATCTCCATCATGATCCTTGGTAACGATCCTAATTCCTATTCGTTACAGTTGGGTTATAGGATATAATTCTGGTACTGTTGGATTCACATTTAAAGGTACTTTATATGATATAAATTTATGGTCATAGGCAATGTAGTATGAAAGGTAATGATGGTCAAGTAGGGCTTTGATGACCACATCTGGTCAAACTGTGCCTTACGTTTTAAAAAGGTGGGAGTATTTATATCTGTAGCACAAAAAAGGTGTACCTACATATAAGTGATTATGTTTGTTTAGCTCTGTGGTGATGAACCAAACAATGAAAATTCCATCACAGGTATGTGGAGGTCAATATGAACTCTGGTGCTACTGTTTGGCCACTCTTCAATAGTCTGCAGGCATTCTGGCCAGGGCTTCAGGTTTGGTTACATATATTTCTGATAATTGCTGTGGCTTTGTTGCACATGTTTTAGATGATTGCTTATGCTGCTTAGATTTAAGGTTTTAGCTGGAGATGTTGATCCTGCTATTCGCACACATGCTGCCTTCTTCAGCGTCTGGAAAAAGTATGGTTTTACCCCTGAAGGTTTTAATCTTGCTACATCCACTGTCCAGGTAATGAAACTGTTAAGCTATAATAGTCAAGGGTATTAGCATAATCTCCTATCTAAGGCTTGCCATTTGCCTCTCACTATTCCTAACAAAAACAAATTTTACCAAACCTTGTGGCAGGACGCACTCTAACCCTTGAACTTCAAACTCTCATATTAGACCTTACTACAGGAAAAAGATTGTAGCAAAATTGTATGAATCGATTGAAGGATTAATTTTTTTCCTGTTGGCCTGTGATAGCTGGGTGCACAAAAGTTGAAGGACAGAAGAGACTTACTGATTTATACTTGCACTAATATTGCCATTTTCAACATTTCATAGAATGGACAAAGGAGCTACCCGCTACGGCCAGAGTTGATTGAAAGCACATATTGGTTGTTCAAGGCTACCAGAGATCATAGGTGTGTCTTTCTTTACAAGGTGATGATATAATTTATTTTGTTGTATAAGAAATTTATTGTCTTAGTTGCAATCTTCCTTACTGTTAGAAAGAAAAGGAGAATTGCTTTCAGTGCAAGATTCACTAAATTTTTAGATTTTGTTTAGGTTGTTTCTTGAAACTTGGGCAAATTTGCCCTAAACATTCAATGACATTTTAATCTGTCACATTTTGTACCTATGTCCTGCTCGTACAACCCAAGATAATCCTGCAATTGTGATTACCCCTGACCAATGTATGCTATGTGGCTATGTCAAAAGTCAAGTCCAATCTAATCTCATGGTGATTAAGTCGCAGCACTTGCATTGCTAGTTCATTTGCTGTTCTTTCAATTGATTATCATAAGCTGAAAATTCCTTGTGTAATTTCTTTAGTATTATTGGTGTCTAATCCATTTGATTTTCGCCTATAGATTCACTTCACTCAGCTGTATCCTACCTATATTCTATGCCCTGGCTTTAATGTTTTATTTTTATATTAATGCAGATATCTTGATGTTGGAAGGGACATATTAGCAAGCCTTCAATATGGTGCTAGATGCCCTTGTGGCTACTGCCACATATCAGATGTGGAAACCCACAAGCAGGATGATCACATGGAGAGTTTTTTCCTTGCAGAAACGGTGAGAATCTCTACAGAAAATGCTGGTGCCAATTTTACCTTTGATGATATGATGCTGGTATGCCTACAATGTTTGGGAGTGTGTGGGACATGCAGTGAGGAACTAAGGATCTATAAGACCATAGTTTAAAACAGATGGGATCAGCTATATTAGCCTTAGTATTTTGCATAAAGATGTCAGATGTCAATTTAAGGGTTTACTATGCTCCAGTTTGTACAAAATATCTCTAGGTTTACATAATTGCAATGTACCCCTACTTTTGCAGTTTTCCCATAAAATCAATAAGTATCCTATTATGATGAAACAAACTCCTTGATTTGTTTCCATTTTGAGTGCTGGATTGAAATCCCAGCTCAGAATAATTTTGTTTCAAATTCCAGCAATTCCCTGCTAATTAAGCTGCTAAATTTACTCCCTCCGTCCCAAAAAGAGTACACTTCTTGTTTGTTTCAAGTTTGACCAAATCTACGCAAAAAGGTACCGAATAAGTACATCTATGATATCGAATAAGTACCATTAGATTAATCACGGAATATATTTTCACAGTAAATCTATTCGGAGACAAAAAAATATTAATACTATTTTATATAAACTGTCAAACTTATGAAAATTTGACTTAGACCCAAACTAGAAATGCACTCATTTTTGGGACAGAGGGTGTAAATACATGCCATTTTCCTTTATTTATCCTCTATTGCTGAAATCTAACTACCAGCACATACCAGGTCAAATATCTCTGGCTTCTTTTTGATTTAGCTGCTGGCCCTGACAATATTGTTGAAAATGGACCATATAGGTAAGTATGACACCAGAATCCAGTAAGTTCAGGTGTTTATTCAGACTTAGAATTCATAGTTACAGTGTATCGTCGGCTCTGCAGGTACATATTTAGCACAGAGGGTCATTTGCTACCTGTTACTCCTGAGATAGCCTTGGTAGATGAACATTGTTCATATTTTGGAGCATTCTGTCATGGTAGTGCCGACCATGGATATGGTGCTAGTGCTAGTTCTACTAAGCATCAAAATGGAAACTATACCCAATTAGATGATATTCAAACCCCTTCCGGTCACTATTCAATGTCCAACGTGTTGTTTACGACAGGAGGTTACATCAAGGTAACTCTGATGTGGTTCCTGATTAACATTTTTTTATTTCTTGTTCACGGCATGTGTAACTTTTGTTGACAGAAAATGGAACAATAGTGGATTACATTGTGTAAAGTCTAAGCTATTTTAAAGAGTCTATTGATGTGATCCTTGGGACATAGAATGGTGCATATGGCATCCAACAGGTTGCAGTTATCAATTAATTGGAGTTAGAAAGCAATGAATATACAGCAAGGAGGGTGTAGTTTTCTTTCTGTCTCAATGTGGTGTACATGGCATCTGAAGCTAGTTTTCTACCTTAATCCAGTGTATTTGTTATTTTGTTACATGAACAAGAGCATCCTGTTTTCCTGGTCTTACCGCCTGTGACCGGAAGGTCCCGGGTTCGAGTCGCGGTCTCCTCGCATTGCACAGGCGAGGGTAAGGCTTGCCACTGACACCCTTCCCCAGACCCCGCACAGAGCGGGAGCTCTCTGCACTGGGTACGCTAGTCTTGCTAAGAGAATCCTCTATGTTTTTGCCTTTTCATCTAATAAATTAACACTACATGCATGCGCAAAATTCAGATTGTGCATGCTATTAAATTATGTTTATTTTTCTTTTTCTCCAACCTTAACATATCCTTTTTGATAGGGAGTTTGTCCAGGATTGACTCATGCACAGAAACTTGGGATATCATACTCTGATGAAGAGGATAACTTTATAGAGCAGACTTCTGAAAGTCGTGAGCATCATGGTGAATCTGCAGTAGAATCTAGCGGCCAAGACCAATCAAGTTCTATTATATTAATCTCTCACCCAGTCGCAAGCCAACATGATGAGGCTTTGGAGAGCGGGTCTGGAAGTCAAGATCATGCAAGTATTGTTGTAACTTCTGATTCTGATTCCACAAGCCGTGATAATACTGTTGGCTCACTGGGAGCGAACACTGAAGAACTTATGGAGCACATTGAGGGCACCTCGGGACAGGACAAAAGATGAAGAGGTTGCTCAGAGTGTTTGAGTCGAAGATATCAGCTGACCCTTTGTTCATGTAGCGACCCATTTCTGTGGAATCTTCAGGGTCAGTAGCTTGCCGAATGCAGAACAAGCTAGCAAGCAAGCAAATGCCTGGTAGACGCTTCAGTATCTTGCCCGCTTCTCTACGATCTGAAAGTTCTTGAGATGATTGGGCACCATTGTTGCGTCGAGGACATTGACTTTGAACATCGGAAATTGATATTTACTTTCAGATAGTAGTATATTACAGGGTGGGCATTCACTAATTTGTTCTTTTCTGTATCTTACATAGATATTCTTTTGATTAATAGAGAAGGTACTAATTTTGTACACCAGATGCATATGAAGAGACACTGCATACATCATGGGACCTATTCAGTTGCAGAACAGATCATAAACAGCAAACGAGTTTTAGTGTGTAAGCTTACAAGATTTTAGATTCGAAATCAGGGATTTGAAGCTAACATGCTCTTAATTGGGCGTGGACATGGGCCGATGGACATGAGGTAATGTCGTTGGTGGTGTCCACTGCCACTGGCCGGAACCTAGCGATGGTGCAGTGTTGCCAGGTGCCGGAATGCAGGACTGGGTTGGGCTGGGTCAGCTGGTGAAAGGCGACTCGGTTTAGATTGGGCAGGGTAACGGCGGAGTCGGTCGGCATCGCCGCTTCGCCGGAAAGGGTAGTGGGAGCAGCGACGGATGCTGCACACAGCCCTACTCAAAGCTCAGAAAAAATTCTGTGCGGCAAGTTTTCTCGCAAAGTTGCTACTCCTACGTGCGTGCGTAATCTCCACGGCCGGATCAAAATATCATTACTTCATCCAACTGCCAACATCTCGCGAAAGTGAAGCTTAGATACAAATAGCCATGTCTGAAATTACATCGATGACCGCCACCATGTTTACATCCAGATCGTTAACAGATGGAGAGGGTGGATCGATCTAGAGCGACAGGCCACCGGACTCCTCGTCCTCGTCGAGGTCAGAGGTGTAGATGGTGTAGAGGGACCAGATGAGGCCGAAGACCCCCAGGAGGATCCACCCCAGCAGGTTGTTGCTGAGCCCAAGGCTCAGCCCGGTGCCCTCCGTGGACATCCGCTCGTCCACGAGAGCCAGCGCGGGCCCCGCCGACGCGGTCACCGCGCCGGCGGCGGCGAGCAGCGACGCGCCAGCGGCCTTGGCGCTGACGGCGGCCGCGTTCTTGGCGTCCTTGGCGTAGCTGCACCGCACCCTCTCGCTCCTCGCCCTCAGCTGGGGCAGCCCTGCGGACAGCGAGCTCCGCCGTGAGCATATATGCAAGCGTGAAACGCGACAAAAACGAGCTGTATACTAATATATACTGGCAGTGCCGTCGTACCTAGACCGTTGGGCCTGGCGATCGCGGCGCGGGCAACGACGGTGGTCGCCGCGGCGGCGCTGACGGTGGCCATGACTGCTGCCTCTGGATCTCTTTTGCTGGATAGTGGAGTGTGGTGCTTTTGCTTTGTGGCTCGCGTGCGCCAGTTGGCGGTGTTTCCTTTTAAAAAAAAGGCGATACACGAAATTATCGCGAACTTGATGTGGCTGCAAATCGTCTGCAGCCGCTAGGATTGGGTGAGGCACGGGATTGGCTATCCTTGCACCCACGGCCTATCCACTCGCACCCAATCGGGTTGAGCCAGCTGGACCCGTCGATGGACATCTGGACGTGGAATTCAGGGTAGCCAGGTCGGCTGGTGACTGCTGGCTGGGCAACAGCAACGTTGGTTTCAGTACAAATAAAGTGGTTCAAAGTAGACAATTCACATAATACAGACCAATAATTTTATTTCTAGCGGTCTCTACGGTGCTTTTCTCCTTTAACTATGGGTCACTTTTATCCCCTCTCCCTTTTCTTTTCTGGCAAAGGATCACATTATCCGTTCTCTCTCAGAAAAGAAATGTCTCTCTCTAAGTATATGTAGCTTTTGCAATTAACTATAATAACTACAACTTAGCTGTGCAACTGCATCGGGCCCTCACGCTTCCCAACCACCACCACCGCCGCTGCCCCTCCCCAAGGACACCACTTGGTCCCCCTCCTCTCTCCTAACCGACGCCTGGTCGACAGAGGAGCACGCGGGGGGAGGGGGGGGGATCCCTTCCCTTCGTAGCTTTAGGTTAGGTTTGTGGATCCTTAATAATCTAGGTTTTGGCTTTGGTGTCATCGACGAGGTGGTGGCGATGGTGGTACTTTGGAATAATGTCTCTTTGGCCTCTCCCTACCTCGACGGTGTTTGATTTGACGTCGGCAAAGGACCAGTGAGAGTTTGGTCTGTTAGATCTGTTGTTCTTTTTCAGATCTTGGCATTTGGTGTGCTTATCAGAGAAAAAAACGGTTGGCTGGCTTTCAATGCAACAATCTCGACCTCTTCTTTTGGTCTGTTCTATGGCAAGGTTCGGCATCTTCAACACACTGTTCTGATGGTGAAGGAGTGTAAGCATGCGTTCTTTGGAGGGTTACTCTAGCCGATATTTTTTCATTGGGTACTAAATCTCGTTGTTAGCGGCAAGTGACTTTTGTGATCTTCAAAGTCTTGTTTGGTATGAGTGTTTGTAGGTGTCTTTTTCTTTGTTGTCTTTTCAGTGTAATCTTCAAGCTCCTGCAAGTAGTGAACGTTTGAAGGAAGAAGATGACCAATTTGATTTTTAACTTATTCTTTAGAGGTCATTTTGTTTCTTATTGTCTATCTTTTGTACCAACCTTTGTTTTTCTTAAGGTATATAAGATGTGAGACACTCTTTCTTTTAAGTGTCTTTATCCAAAAAAAAAATTATGACAATTACAAAGAGCTTGCCTTCCCTTTTTATAACGTCACCACTTTTGGGGAAGCCCTTTGGAACTACATCGAGCTTTTAGGACTTCCACCTCGTGGCGAGTTGCTTTTGGATTAAAACTCAAAGGACGGAAGGCAGATAAGTTGAACGTTAAACTCCAAATTAAAGTAGCTCGATTCATCAATTATTCAGCTGGAGCATCCATTTACTCAAATAATTTGATACGCTTGACGTTCGACAAGGCATGACCGCCGCTTAAAATTTTTGCCGATGACTACCTTCAGTTAACTCGAAGCGGCACAAAGCTTATCTATCCTTCGTGGTTCCATTCACAAATACTCCCTGCACATCTCACTTCTCAAGAAATTGATTTTTTAAATTTAACTAAATATATAACAAAAAAGTAATAATATTTATAATGCATAATAATATCAGTAGATTAATTATGGTATATACTTTAATAAAAAAGCTTATTTAAAGATATAAATTTTAATACTATTTTCTATAAAGTCAGTCAAACTATCAAAGTCTAACCACTATTTTTCATGCAAGTCACAAGTATGTGATTTGATTAAAGTACTTCCCATAACCAATAAAATGACACTTTATGACTTTAGTCGGTAGAATATTTTGAAAAAATAATAATTATCAGGGTATGAATAGTGTTCCTCGAAATAAACAAACAAAAAACTAAAGCCATCCATTATTGTGAACGGAAGTTAATATTATATCTTAGTTTTTACACATTTGTCTAACTGTACATCCGTGCTTAGTTTTTACACATTTGTCTAACTGTAAATACGTGCTTTTTCAGCCATAGCAACCTAAAACTTGGGCAAATTTGACCAACAATCAGTTAAATTATACAGTATGCAAGCTTAGTCATAAAACTTATATTGATAGTGATATATTTATATTTAAAGCACCTCTGAGATTTGAAATGACATTAACTTCTTTTAGCAATCAATAACATATATACTGTAAGAGAAATTAAGAGTCGATCTACTTTGTATGACTACTTTCTAATCAGAATAGATGATATTAACTTCTTTTAGCAATTGATAGCATACTGTAAGAGAGATTAAGAGCCAAATCTACTTTGTATGACTACTTTTTAATCAGAATAGATGATATTAACTTCTTTTTGCAATCGATAACATACTGTAATGGAAACTAAGGCCCTCCACAATGGTACAGTGACGGCAAAAAAAAAAAATTGGGTCCCACGTTTCATTACTGGCACTACTCTTTGCATGTCACAGTGGTGGAGCATCACTATCATCATTTCTGGGACCCACTGAGTAAGAATAAAGAAGCACCATGCATGAACGGGATGAGCACCAGCGCGAAGAGAAATGAGTCCAACTGATTTATGGCTCGTCGTAAACGATCGTAAATTTTCAGTCGAAATAATATTTTTCTCTCACACAAACCAACCAGTAGTATTTCTTCACGAACCAGCAACGATATGAACCAGCTAACCGAACAGGCTGATAAATACCGACTAATTCTTATTTTATTGAGCAGACACCAGCGCAACTGCTTGCACCGCTCCAAAATTTCCTGGCTTCATTGGGAATTGGCACCGTAGGCTGCAGTGTGGGGAGCAGTGGCCAAAGTCTTCTCTCTCCCTTCCTGGCTTCACTTAGGCCACACACCGCGGACGGCCTAAGAGTCAAAATCTACTTCGTATGACTACTTTATAATCAAAATACGCTTACCATTCCTAAATGAACTAAAGTTCAAAAGAAAAGGCACGTACTCCCTCTATTCTAAACTACAAGTAAAAAATCTATAATTTTGATTATCTCTATAAAAAATGTGCCAACATTTCCACGCCAAATTAGTTCCATTCAATCCACACGCTATATGTCTTAAGAGTGCATGTAATCGGTATGTAGATGCCAATATATATTTCTAGAAATTTATTAAAAGTTAGAGAAATTTAATTTACAACAAATCCAAAGTGACTTATTTTGATTAGAGAGTATATCGTATATGCTTTCCAAGGGAAAGTATGAGAGACCTTTTGCAAGCTGAAGTGTGCCTAAGCTAACTTCGGTCCAGTTAATTTTGAGCTTCGACCGAGGTCCATGTGGACTGCGGGCCGAATGGCAGCGGTGAAGCCCAAATCACTAAACTAAGAACCCGACGGAAGAAGGCAAGAGGCCTAGGCCGGCTAGGCGAGACCGTGAGAGACCTCTCCGGTTCTCCGCCCCTGCCTCGGCGAGGGCGTACTGCACTTGCACAACAAGTATACGGGTGTTCAACACACCCCCCAAAAAAAAAAAAAAAGGGTCAGGCTAGCGTCTGGATGATCGCGTCTGCCCGCACCCGCGCAGGCATGCTGCTGCGCCCACCCGTCCGTCTACACCTGCTTCACATGGAGGTCCGCGTCGCTCCGTTTCCCAAGCCCATGTGGGGCGCGTCTCGAACTGCACCCGCACCGTTTCCCGTGTCTGCCGCTCGCGCCCGCTCTACACCCACGCGAATGCAGGTGGGCCCAACAGCTGCAGCAGGCGGATGCGGCAGATGGGTACCACTGCAACACGTGCAACACCAGATTTACTTTTGCAACATCTAGATTAAATACTTGCAACATACATCTGAAACACCAGAAAAATACGTGTGTAGCCATTGCAAAAACATATGCAACATCTAGATGAAACAGTCGAAACATATGTTTGAAACATACGCAACATCCGGATGAAACACTTGCAACATATATGTGAAACATATGTAACACCAAGATAAAAACACACTTGCAACATACATATGAAAACATAGATGAAGCATTGGGAACAAACCTTTGCAACATACGTGTACAACCATTGCAACATCCCGATCTACTTTTGCAACATCCATTTGAATCAATTGCAACATTATGAAACATCCTAAACACTTGAAACATAGGCTTACAACATGCGCTTTCAGCGCAATATCTCCTTGTGGAGTTTACCGGAGGCAACAGCCCGGGGCGAGGAGTGGAGCTAGGTCGGCGAGCGGATCTTAGCGAAGAGCGGGAAGATTGGCACCCAGATCGAGTTCAAGGAGGTGTCGGACCAATCTCGGAAGAAGGGCAGTCGGCGGTCCGTTGGTCCGGGGCGCCAGGGAGCAAGCGTGGGTGGCGCGATGCCGGGTCGGAGCAGTGAGGAGGCGGCGGGGGGCGTGGTTGCGCTAGTGTCCAACGGGGCTGCGGGCGACGGCGCGACGCTATGCGCAAGCGGCGCGAGCTGCGCGTTGGGTGCGACGCAGTGGGGAAGAAAGAGGCCCGCGAGGCAGGAAGACCGGTTTCTTTTTTTTAAGAAACTCCGTAGCAGATAGAAGGGCGTAGTTTTGCTAGCGGCGTGGCCCAGTAAACGGAGCGTTCTGGCGGATGAACGCCTGTTTCCAGCCTTACCGAAAAAAAGGTATAGGGGCGTCAGTGACGCTGCGAGAAATGTCACTTGGGCCTTGTTTAGATTGGGGTTAGGAATCATTATTTGTCACTGTAGCACTTTCATTTGTATTTAACAATTATTGTCCAATCATGGCCTAACTAGGCTCAAAAGATTCGTCTCGTAATTTACAATCAAACTGTGTAATTAGTTATTTTTTTATCTACATTTAATACTTCATGCATATGTCAAAGATTTAATGTGATGAAAAGAGAGTGAAAAAACTTCCACTCTAAATAAGGCCTCGTTCTCCATCTTCTCTCTCTACTCACTCGACGGAACGCGTCGGCAATGCAGGCGCTGAATAGTTATTTTAAGCACACCAAGTCGCTGACTCGCTATGCTCTAGTAAAATTACTTTTTGATAAAGCCAGACGACGCATGTGAGTACGTACATGAGGATGCGACGGGGCCAGCGAAAGCGAGTGGAACCACAGGTACGTAGCTCGTGACCGATCAACGGTCGATAAAATAAATCAATAAATATTTCCTGCACACGGCTTCGGCGACAAAGACACCTGCACGAGACGCGCGAGTTCTTAAAAAGCCATTCTTTCACCGTGCACGGTAACACGCGGAATTCACTTTGCATATATTTTAAAATAAAAAATAAAAGGAACCACTACATGTTACAATACCGGAGCGGCACACGCTGCTTTCGGGTGCTAGTTCGGTTAGATCCTCTCCAAGCTGCTATACTACTACTAAAATCGTCCCACGCATTAAACGTGCCCGCGTCGATGGCGTTCGCCGATCGGTCAAACAAGCCGCGCGCGTAACGCCAGTTTGACACCTTGACTTGTTGCAGAATAATCTTCCACTGGATCACCGGTCAGTTTCATTCGTGCCTCGGAACGTATATAAGCGCGGACGCGCGAGGCGACAACGCAATGCAAGCGCGCGCGCCGAGGGACGCGCATCTATCACTTGCGCGCGCGCGCGGCCAGCATGGATCCGTTCTACTTCGGCCCGGACCAGCAGCTGGACGCCGCCGCCGTCGACGAGGACGACTACCTGACGAGCCTCGGCCTGGTCCTCTCGCCGGCGCCTCCAGCGGCGTTGCCCTTGCCCGCCGGCGCATTTGAGGCGTACCAGCGGCGTGTGCCGGCGTTGCTGGAGTACAACTCCCTGACGATGAGCGGCCGGCGGTACAACGTAGAGCGGAACATGCACCGGAGGATGTTCAGTTACCTGAGACGCGTCGCTCATGTCGCCGCCGCGGCCTCCACGGGGGCCGTGGTGGCCCCAGCGTTCCCGGCGCCCGCGGACGAGACCATGACCACCGTTGGGGTTGTTGGGTCGTCGCAGCAGGCGCCGCGAAGCTCGCGGTTCCGGCACATCATGCGCGAGCGGCTGCGGCGGGAGCGCCTAAGCCAGGGATTCGCCGACCTCCACGCGCTTCTGCCCCCCGGCGCGTCTTCAAAAGTTAGTCGCAAAAACACACGAACGTCACGCACGCACGAGTGCTTTTCGATCGGCTTGTCAGCTCAGCTGTGCGGGCGTGACATGAGCAAGCAAAATAACCTGTTGTGCGCACGCACGCACGCAGGGTGGCAAGAACGACATCGTCGGCGCGGCGGCGGGCTACATCAGGGAGCTGGGGGCCAGGAAGGAGCGGCTCAGCGCCAGGAACGAGGAGCTCCTACACAGGGCCGCGACCCGGTGGAGTGGAGTAACGAGGAGTAGCGTCGGCAGGGGCATGGTGGTGAAGGTGCGAGCCGAGAGCCAAGACCATTCGACGGCGGTTAATGCGTTTGAGAGGGTGCTCCAGCGGCTCAAGGCCATGGAGGAGCTGCAGGTGACGGCGATCCGATCGCGAATCTGCGCCGGAGAAATGTGGATGAACGTCGGAGTGGAAGGCCAGGTACGTACGCGCCTAGTTTTTTTCCCCTGTCGAACATCACTCACTCTAGATGTAACGTATACGTACGTTGGATGTGAAATATTCTCCTGAAATTGGACATTAAACGTACGTTTGCTCTAGGTCACACCGCATGTGTCGGGTTTATAAATTTGGGGTTCTCGATGGACCCGCTTCCCTGTAAAACCCGGCCCAGCAGGCAGTGTAGCGACAGCACGCGCCTGAGCCGGCCTAGATACATAATGATAGGCCGAGATAACGATCCGGTCCCGGACCAGAAGGCCTGGCCAAGGTGGGACCACAGTCCAACTCCGACCCCCTTCTTCGACCGAGGATACGCCGAACCTCTGCTCATTGCTCTTTCCCGACCGACACGGTCGGGACCGATTGGAAACAACTGACCGGAGACGCCCGCTCGGTGTGGGCCCAGGGAGCAGGCGGAGCAGATAAGGTGAGGCGCTCAAGTCAACCGCAATATCGAGGACTGTACCCTGCCATGCCCTGCGCACCGACAGGACGGTGCCATCGGGGCATGTCAGGCGGACACGGTTGAGCCTTCCAGATGTGTCCGAACATAAACAATATTGTGGACGCCGACGGCCATCCCGTACCCGATGGTGTGGGCAATAAGACTAGACAGCACACGTATACACTCTCTTTTTTCTGACTTGTAAGGCCATCCTCTCCAACTATAAAGGATGATGAGCTCTCTCCTAACCCCCCCCGAAGACTGGTCGACTCGACAGCTCAATAGTTCTAGTACTCGACAACTACACAATCTACACGCTCTCAACAACTGATAACCTCGAACACACAGAGCATATGTTCTAATACTTAGCGCACGTTTGAGCATCGGTCACTCTCTTCCACTCGGTTCAGAGTCCGACCGGGCCTCTAACACCCCCTTTATCATTCCTTACTCGTTTGTAACCCTACAACAAACTTTGAGCACCTGGACTCAGGAATAAAGTCACCGACCGACATCAACTGGACGTAGGGCATGTTGCCTGAACCAGTATAAATCCTATGTCATTGAGTGCTAGGTCACATCCGATCATAACGCACGGCAAAACTATAAATATTTACTTGTTGGTCACTTTTTGCACCGACAGTTAGCACCGTCCATGGGAGGACACCGTGCGTTCACGCCTTTGGTCATCGAATGGCCCACCTTTCCACTATCTTCGGTATGGTGGGCTCGAGCGATACGATTCGCTTCGGCTCGCTGGAGTTTCCCACGCTCCCACTTGCTGGGATGTGGGCTCCTCCCGTCTTTGTGCCACTCCAGACCTTCCTCTTCGGGAGTCTAGACTTTGTCGCCAACCAGCTCGGCGTACTTCGCCTCCACGAAGAGGCGCTTGTCCCGGCGCCCACCGGAGGAGGAGCGCCCTCCACCGACTGCAACGGGCCACTCGACGACCTCAACGTCGAGACACCCGTGCTTCGCCTCGAGCCCATGCTGAGCTCAAACCCCACGGTGAGTGATGTACATATTGTTCTTTACTCACTATTTAACACCTTCCGTCGACTCTCCAGAGGGACCCCGTTATCCCCACCGCTACCGCTGTGCGACCGGTCCCCCTATGGTTTCGCGTCCCCCGTGGACGCGTGCGCGTGGGGACTCAGAAGGATGCTGATGCCGCCCCTTCTCACGTCCGAGTTCGTGGGGATGGCGGGCTACGCTCCCACCTCCTTCCATGACCTCGTCGATGACGAGGTCAAAAGCGATGGCTCCAGCATCGATGACATCATGGCACCTGGCCACCCTCTGCCCCGGGAGTGCGCTATGGCAGATGCCCTAGGACAGCCACCGGAGGTAGTGGAGTCTCAGTAGACTCACACCCCTCTGGACCCCCGTGCGCAGGCCCTAGCACGTGAGCAGCAGCACAGTGAGGATGTTACGGCAAAGGCGGCAGAGCCAGCCGCCACCTACGTTGGAGCGCACGGCGCATCATGCTGTGTCACATGCGCATAACCCAGCAAGCAGCACTTGGGGTCATGCCCGTCAGGTCCAGCGTAACATACTGGACGGAGGGGATGACCCCCTTAGTTTTCTTGGGCTGGCCAGAATATCGCTGCTGCGGCGAAGCTTCTATGTGGCCTCCCCGAGCTTGCAGACCCCCGGGAACAGGCAATCCACCGGAACCTCCGGACGCTGGTGGAGACCGCCACCGTTTAGCAGGCGGTGAGCTCCACGTCGCGACACTAGCTCATGGCCTCTTGCCCAACCGGGGGACTGGGGCCACACCAGTCGAATCACTCCGTCCACTCACCGCAGCAGTTGCTAGGCGTGGAGCAGGAAGCCACGACTGCACTGTAGCCCAACCCTACACCCACTCCACACTGACCACCAGTCCACGAATGGCTCGGGCCAAACCGTGATGCTCGCAGCGTCATCAACAATCGACGCCACACCCGGTACGATGATAACGCCCATCGAATGGTGGCACGGGCCTCGGCTTGACCATCGAGGAGTGCGAGGACACGCACCCCTGGCATGGTGGCCGACCAAAGAACTAGAGCCCCAGCCCGGACGGCCCAGGGCCATGGGCCTTTGGTTATCTTATCTAGAAAGCGTCGTTCCCATAGCGCTTCTGACCGCCCACCAACATCGCCAGGTACCCCGGGAAGACAAACCCCGGTATATGGCTCGAAGGCTTCGGCTCGCCTGCCAAGCCGGAGGAGTGGATGATGACTACTTCATCATCCAGTACCTCCCCATCTACATGGGGGAGCATGTTCGAGCATGGCTTGAATTCCTTCTGCCCGACAGCAACCGCGACTGGGCGGATCTCAAGAGGGTCTTCGTCAGAAATTTCTAGGGGACGTACATCTGTCCTAGGAATTCCTGGGACCTCAAGAGCTGCCAGCAGGAGCCCAATGAGTCCCTACAGGATTACATCCCTAGGTTCTCAAAGCAGTGCAACTCCCTTCCTGATGTCGTCGACGCGAACGTCATCAGCGCGTTTCTCTCTGGGATAACATGCGAGTCCTTGATCCACAAGCTCGGCTATGTGAAGCCCTATACCACCCGTGACCTGCTCGACATCGCCACGAACCATGCCTCTAGCGAGGAGGTGGTCGGGGCGGTCTTCAGCGATGGTCGGGACAGGGGCAAGGCCAAGCGCGAGGACCAAGGTGAGTGCCCCTCCACACAAAAGGGCAAGAAGAACAAGAAGAATCGGCGCCGACCGGCCAACCTAGCTTTGGTCGCTGCGACTGACCGAGCGGGCAAGCAGCCCCAGTAGGGCCAGCCCGACCACTTAGATAAGCTCATGGAGAGTCTATGCACCAACCATGCCTATCCCATCAAACACCTCTACAAGGACTGCGAGCTCCTCAAGCGTTTCCTGCAGCAAGCCGCCAAGCCAAAGGAAGGGAAAGGCAAGGAGGAGGTGGCCACAAAAGGAGGCGTGGCGGGCAAGGATGAAGACGGCTTCCCCAACCCCAAGGAATGCCTCATGATTTTTGGAGGATCCGATGCTATCCACTTCAAGCGCTAGAACAAGGTACGCTACAGAGAGGCATGCGCCGCCGAGTCGGCCATTCCCTCTTTCCTTAGCTGGTCGGACTCTCCGATCACTTTTGATCAGAGAGACCATCCTTCCCATGTTGCCCGACTGGGTCGCTACCCGCTCGTCATCGACCCCATCATCCGCAAGAAGCGCCTCACCAAGGTGCTGATGGATGAAGGCAGCGACCTCAATATTCTCTACGTCGACACCCTCAATGCCATGCGCATCCCCCGGTCGGAGCTCCGCTCAATGAGCTCTCCCTTCCATGGCGCGATCCTAGGGGCGCAGGTGTATCCACCCGGGCAGATCGACCTGCCCATCATGTTTGGCGACCGCACCAACTTCCACTCAGAGGTCCTGGCCTTCGAGGTAGTGGACTTTTTGGGGTCCTACCACACCATCTTGGGGCAGCCATGCTACGCCAAGTTTATGGCAATCCCCAACTACACCTACCTCAAGCTGAAGATGCTAGGGCCGAACGATGTCATCACCATAGGTAGTACCTTCTTGTACACCTACACATGCGACTGTGAGCATTACGAGCTTGCCACTACCGTCATCAACTCCGCCAAGCTCCTAGAGCTCGGGAATTCGGCAACTCTAGCAGTCCCCGACTGCAACGGGTTGACCTCCTCGAGTGCCTTCCATCCGACTGAGGAAACCAAGGCTGTGGAGATCGACCCCACCGATCCGACCAAGACGGTGTGGATCGGGACCAAGCTCCCGGCCAAATAGGAAAGCGATCTCGCCGACTTCCTACGTGCAAATCGTGATGTCTTCATGTGGAAGCCTTCTAACATGCCGAGCATACCGAGGGAGGTTGCCGAGCATGCACTACACATCATCCCAGGCTCAAATCCTGGTAAGCAACACATGCGTCGCTTTGACGACAAAAGGTGCAGGGCCATAGGTGAGGAGATCGCCAAACTTTTGGCAGCTAGATTCATCAAAGAGGTATACCACTCCGATTGGCTAGCTAATCCTGTTCTTGTGAAAAAGAAGAATGGGAAGTGAAAAATGTGTGTTGACTATACTGGCCTCAACAAGGCGTGCCCAAAGGATCACTTCCCTTTACCACGCATAGATCTGATAGTCGACTCCACCTTAGGGTGTGAAATCTCTCCTTCTTGGATGCCTACTCATGCTACCACCAGATCACGATGAAAGAGTCCGACCAGGTCGTGACTTCATTCATCACCCCATATGGTTCGTACTGTTACATAACCATGTCTTTTGGTCTGAAAAACGCTGGCACAACCTATCAACGGTGCATGCAGCGATGCTTTGCTGATCAAATCGACCCGCCCGACCAACCTGACCAAGTCGAGCGGCCGAAACCAACAATCACCGTCTATGTAGATGACATAGTGGTGAAAACAGCTTAGGCTAGCAACCTGATCGCAAACTTAGCCACAACATTCGTGAACCTCCGAAGGTTCAGCGTTAAATTGAATCTCGAAAAATATGTTTTTGAGGTTCTAAAGGGAA